TGCGGGTATAAAAAGTTTGATAGAAGTTGATCTCAAACCCAGCATAGGTATAATATCAGAATTTAATCAATCTTTAATAACAACTAACAATCAAAATGTTGTTTTTTAACAATGAAATTTGCTGATGGCCTATGACAAGGTTAAAGATATGTTCACTAAGATGAATTAATTAATTAAAGTTTACAAAAAAAATGATCAGACATTATCAACTATTTGTCAACAATGTACTAAAACAATGGTACAGAAAACTTAATAATGTTAAGTAATACGCAAAAACCATAAAATAAAATTGGTGTATTGCAATTGTAGCATGTATTTTATGAAATCATTTTCCATAAGAATTATTGCTTAGAAATAAAAAAAAATTGTTTAATTTTCTCTGTCTTAAAGTTCCTTAGACAGTCACTTTTATTCACTTTCAACTTGTCTGAGATGGGATAAAAAAAAAAACAACTGAAACCTAGATTAAAAAAAAAATCGAATTAAAAACATTTAAATGTATTACATTAAGAGATGGCGCGTAGTCTTTATTCGTGCAATGAACACACTGTATGAAGGGTCAACAGGGGATGCATACTCCTCCATGGGACCTGATCCCACATCTGATATTTTTAAAGGTCTGTTCTGCTCACAATTTCTATTTTTCCTATGTTTTTTTTTAAAGTTAATTACTTTTCATTATCTTTATTTTTATAGTAAATCCATATTCATATAAAACTGGAAGTAACGTTTCAAAAAAATTCAATAATCACTAGCACAACATAATAAACGAAGCATCGAACATCTAATTCACAATTAAATTACTAACTATCCGCTTACATGCAGATGTCGACCTACGGATATACATGTACAAATTTTTATCTCCATTGTCTCCATGCTAAGATTTTGACCTAAGTCAAAATAGTATTACTGAAAAAAATTATACATAAGTATAAAACAAGATAAATATTCACATACAAGAGTCTAGAAAATAGGAATTCACATTTACTTTAACTGTTAAAAGTTCAAGTATTATAAGATCAAAAGTCACTCATTAAAATCTCATTAAAATTTCCATAGACATTCCTGTCTCTCAGGATACGGAAATGTTAAGTAAATTATCCTGTTTTTATTGAAATAAATATATATCACAATTTATACACAGTGGAGCTCAGACTTCGCTACCCAGTGAAAATCTTCTGGATAAGTGAATCGTGTGAATATCTGAAATATATCGGCTTTTACTAACAGTATACAGGACAATAGCATAAAAGCCATCTATTGCTGCAATACATAAAACGACGCTTATATGTATAAGTAAAAAAATTGCTGTTTTATTATTATTCTATAGACTTCAGATTTAATATACATCAGTACTATTCTTAATACTTTTTCAAATTAAATAGATATAAGAAAACTAAAAACTAAGCAGATTTTCTTTGATCGGGCAGAAGTGCGAATCAGCAAGTGAATTCAAGATCAAAAGTCCATAAAACAATCCAAATTAGGAGCAGAGCAAACACGGACCTCCAAAACAGGAGGTGGGATCAGGTGCCATGGAGAAGTGAACATCCCCTGCCAACCGGTCACACCCGCCATACCCTCCTTATCATGATCGGGAAATAACGGAAAAATCCGTCGTCAATTCAGTGTATAAATGATGGACTTGCAATTAGTATGAAAAACGTCAGTTAGCATTTTACTCAATGCTCGATAAGCAATAACAGATCGAAGTAGGATCAGGTGCCAATGAGGAGTGAGCATCCCCTGCCGACCGGTCACTCCCTCTGTTTGCTCCTTGTCATGATCGGGAAATGACCTGTCAGCAGGGGATGCTTTCACATTCATTGCACCTGATCCCAACTCTGATTTTAAGAAGTCCGTGTTTGCTCTGCTCCAGATTTGTTTTGTTTAAAAATGGAATTTTGAGTTTGAATACTGTTCATTATCTCTATATATATTTTATCATAAATATACTGTAGAATGCTATATACATCTACTTAAATCCATCCTATATATCATTCACTCCTCGTGCCCCAAAAAATCCCTGAGATTTCTGTCCTCGTGATGATATGGCTACTTGGGCTGATATGACATACGATATAGATTTTTACTATGCAAAACTATGTATTGTGGACCTACCTTATTAAAATACCATTAAGTTTCAGATAGATTTCTTAAAAAAAATTATCAATTCATTTTTACAGCCTAATAGAGTTCATCTACGAAATGTTCCGTCTATCTGACCAATACTAAAAGCTTAAAATCCGTGTGAACGGTCAACAGGGGATGCTTTTAGACACGTGGTCCTACATAGAATTTCCAGGGGAACAGGGGAAGCTAAGACATTTGATCCTACCTAGAATTTCCAGGGGACATGCAATGGGAAGCTAAGGCATTTGATCCTACCTAGAATTTCTAAGGGTGACTGTCAACAGGGTAAGCTAAGACATCTGATCCTACCTAGAATTTTCAGTGGCGACCGGTCAACAGGGTAAGCTAAGACATCTGATCCTACCTAGAATTTCCAGGGGACAATGGGAAGCTAAGGCATTTGATCCTACCTAGAATTTCTAAGGGTGACTGTCAACAAGCTAAGGCATTTGATCCTACCTAGAATTTCTAGGAGTGATTGTCAACAGGGTAAGCTAAGGCATCTGATCCTACCTAGAATTTCTAGGAGTGACTGTCAACAGGGAAGCTAAGGCATCTGATCCTACCTAGAATTTCCAGGGGTGACCTCTCAACAGGGGAAGCTAAGACATCTGATCCTACCTAAATTTCGTAAAGATCTACTACCATAAAAAATGAAAAAAAAATCAAAAATCTAATTGGCGTTTTTTTTGTATTTTCTCATTACTCTTAGTAATTGCTCAAACGTGGATCTGTTTACCTAAATATAATTTTGTGAACCAGGAAACAAGATAACTAAGTTTTAATTCATAAAACACTGACAATAACATAAAAAATAACTAGCCGAAATAACTGCAGGATAAGATTTATTTTGAAATATCCAACAGATAACTCCATTGCAGCAAGTGTTAAAAGTTGGGTTGTATGCTTTAGTTCCACAGCAACTTGTTCGCGAGCCTCCTTTGCTATTTATAACTCCGTTGCAGCAGATATCGAATGAAGGATTGATTGTTTTATTTCCACAGCAACTTGTGCGCGAGCCGCCTTTGCTATTTATAACTCCGTTGCAGCAAATATCAAATGTAGGATTGATTGCTTTAGTTTCACAGCAACTTGTGCGCGAGCCTCCTTTGCTATTTATAACTCCGTTGCAACAATTGTCAAATGTAGGATTGATTGCTTTAGTTCCACAGCAACTTGTCCTTGAACCCCCTTCACTATTTATAATTCCTTTGCAGCAAATATCAAACGTAGGATTGATTGCTTTTGTTCCATAGCAACTTGTGCGCGAACCACTTTTGCTATTTATAACTCCGTTACAACAAATATCAAAAGTAGGATTGTATGACCGAGTTCCACAAACAGCTGTTGAAAAAAAAATATTCATTAGAAATAAGTGTAGATTAAGAACAGTATTTTTGCCCAAAAGTCAATTATTAAATAGTACAAATTTTAGAGCAGAGCTAACTAGGACCTCCTGAACATCAGAGATTGGATTAGTTTCAAAGGAGGAGTGAGCATCCTTTGCCAACCGGTCACACTCTCCGTGTGCTTCTTGTCGTCATCGGGAAATAACGGAAAAGTCCGTCAACAATTCGGTGTGTAAATAATAGCATGATGTTAGTATGAAAAACGTCAGTCAGTAAATAACTAATAGACTTCATCATAGACTTTATAAGCTGACAAGGTTAATTTTATCAACCAAAACCTTAGTAATAACTTTTTGTAAGATTATTCTAGTAATTATGAATACATGACTACGAAAGCGTTGTATGAATTATTGGTTGATTGTATATTGTTTAACGTCTCCCTCGATGACTTTTTACTTATATGGAGAGGTCAACACTCGTATGAAAGAAGTACTAATTTTGATTGTCTAAGAAACAATACCAATCTAAAAATAAAACGGAGATTTAAAACAAACGAACGAAATTTAAAAAAAATGAATGATAGTACTTTAGGTTTAGTGCGATGAAAATTAAAGCATATGTATCTAGGACATATGGGACCGTTTTTAATTTTTACATGTAACTAAGATACCTCTGATTGGATTCATGTATACTAAGTACATGCTTTAATACATTACTGTTATGAAGTCCTTTGTTAGATTTTCAAATTTTAGATAATTCATGAATTTTAAATTTCATCTTCCTTTTTCAATATTTCAATTGATATTTTACTTTTAAAGGAATGCAATCTATAGTAATCACATGTAGTCTTCCTCCTGAAAAAGTTAATTTACCAATTTTGTTGATAACTTACCTATTTGCTTGACATTAATAAAAATTCCACGAGTCATTTAAATACAGCAAAAAGAAATATACTGAAACGCAACACACTATTTTAGGGGGAAATAATTATGTAAAGTAAATAATTTTGTATCTATAAATCATGGATATCTTCAGTTTGGTAAATATCGGTAATTTAACGGTTGAACGATTTTCATACCATAACCGGAAGTCAAGTTTGAGTCTGCTTTACAGAAATAAAAAAATTGCATGTTTAACAAAATGTTCGGCAATATTATGGAGTTTTAAGGGTTTGTACTGTTCATCTTAAGTAATGCAGCAATATTTCAAAAAATAAAATCTCATTTCGTTTCCCGTAACGATGCTAAGGCTACTTGCAAAAGGCTTAAGTACGCCTTTTAATGGCTCTAGCTGGAAAATCTCAAAGTTAAGGTGATGGAGAATTGATGCAAAGATACATTACATTACGCCTCAATGGGATCTATTATATCATATGCATGAATGATACTCCTTGGATCGGAAGTCCAAGGTTTACTACAATGTGCTAAGTTAGAGAAAATTCCACCCAATCATCTGAAAAACATGCATTTAAAATGGCAAAGAATAATTCCTTTATTCAGGTCTCGATATTGATTAACCTACTGTATCGTAGAAATTAAGCTGTAATTGTTGTTAAGGGCAGTCTTGTATTTGAATGGCTGGGAGGGGGTGTTTTAACAGTCATATGTTACTTAGTAAAGTTAAAAAATAAACGTTTAACATTTTTATCAAATCTCATGTTCTGAAAAGTGAGTTTAGCCTTACTGTATTCTTTTTTGAAAATCATCAGATAAAAAAGTTCAAACATTTGTAGATTACTGCTTGTTGTATTTCTTATGCGTTTCAGTATAGTTTACTTTCCCAAACTTAACCAAATTTTGTAAACCTAATTTCCTATACATAACCAAAGTTTGTGATTTTCCTCACTTCCTTCTCTTTTTTCCCATGTTAAACACCATGTGTTAGACAAAATAACGACTGGCGAAAAAAAAATTATTTCGTAGCGTAAGAAGCATATAAATTGTGACTTAAGAAATATCTAAGATATAATTTTAAATTCCTATTTTGAGCTTTGATTATTAACTTTCTTTTATCTCCCAAATATGAAACAGATGTAACATCCAAGATATTGTATAATATTTTCTATAACAAATCTTTATTCCCTATGAAACTGTATATTTCTCAATTCTTCAGAACATAAAGGGTGTAGATTTGTTTAGTATTAAAAAATGTGAATAGATAAAGAAATAAAAAATAGCCGATAAAAGTTGTGAGGAAAAAGAAAACCTACAAACCTCGTCCAAATGCAGAATTTGCAACCTGAATGAAAAGAAGTGAAACGAATGCCAAATACAAAATCATTGCAAGGTATTCTATATCCTCTGCAATAAAGGCTACAATAAAAATAAAATATCAAATTTTGATTCATCTTTTTAAAAAAATCTGGAAATAAGTGTGGTTATCAATGGGCAATTAAACAAGATAATAATCAAATTATAAACTGAAGTTTCAATGTTAAAATTCTTACAAATGATGTTTCTGTTTTTATAAAAATAACGTGCGCAAAAATCGACTTTACCTTAAACTATTTCCTTTCTCTCCGATACAATTTAACCGAATCAGTTATATACATAAACTATATAAAAATTAATTCCAGCGCAAACCAGATTAAATAAATGACTGATTGACAATGGGCAAAAAAATGTTTTTGCTAGAAAATACGAACCACTGTAATATACAGTATTTCTTATTCTTGAGTAGGTTGACGAAGACCTGCCTAGTTCTTACTGACCAACATTATAGAATAATGAGAGCTTGATGATGAAATTAATCACAATAAAAAAATCATTTAAAGCCGAAATTTTGAATTGCGAATGAAAATTAATTATGATGACAATAATGCCATATCTTGTTTTCAACTCTAGTAATGACATAACATATTTTATAAGTGTAACAGCCGATAATGAGTTGTTTATCACAAATATGAAATTAATTGCGCAATTTGATCGAGAAAATGAAAATACGATTTATCAACAATATTTTGTTTGAGTGATTCATTCAGTCTAATAGGTCCTATTGTTTAATTTAAAATTAGTTGATATAAAACCTTAAGTCTTTTATATGAAATATGGAGATAAAAACAGTATTCAAGATCAAAATTCCAAAAATTAATACAAAATAGGAGCAGAAGAAACACAGACCTCCAATATATTAGAGGTGGGATCAGGTGCCATAGAGGAGTGAGCATCCTTTGTCGCCCGGTCACACCCGCCGTGTGTTCCTTGTCACAATCGGAAAATAACGGGAAAAATCCGTCGTCAATTCCATGGATAAATAATGGACTTACAATTTGTATGAAAAACGTCAGTCAGCATTTGACTCGATGATAATTTGTATTTGCTGACAAGGTCAATGTATCGAAAAGAGAACTTACGAAATGATGACTTGAAACGAGACTGCTGATTTTCTTGTTTCATCAACTTGTTATCCGAGGAAGTCAAAGCAATAATTACAGAAAGTCAGGAATGTTGTTGCAGATGAAGTACATAAAGAACGTACATACATGTAATACTGAATTGTGAATTAATGGGTTCATGGTTAAAAGAACAAAAGTATACATCAAATAACAAATTAAGTAGTTTCCTGTACCTATTTATTGCACGGTACATGTAGTTGTTACTCAAAAAAAGAAATGATTTGGTATTTGTTATTCGTTTTTTACCTATGCCTCCAAGTATTAGAAACCTTCTTTGTACGGAGTATGTATTTTGTATCAATTTTATGACATACATGTAATCATTCGGATACTGTAGGACAGAGTCGGTCCTGTCTATATAAAACATGTTTTAATTCATCTAATATTGAACATAAATCATAACGATACTAAAATCAGTCAAGGCAAAGTAAGAACCAGCTTCTAGCATGAAATGTTACAGCAAGTTAAGAAAAAACAAAACTGCAGTACTTAGTACTTTAGTTTTTTGAAAGTATTGCAACATGTAAGGATATTTTTAAATGTAAAATTAATGCTTTACTGTTTTTTTTTTAATGTCACTGAACATCGTAATACTAGAAATAGTGTGCTGTTGATCTACAGTGGCATACTTCTAATTAGACTACTGTAGTATATGTCCATAAAGTATTTACTTGATTGAAGTCAAGGGTATCATATGCCCAAAGAATTGCTAGATCACGATATAGTGATATATAAAGGTCATCCGATGGGTGACTACAGCAGCAGCTGCATCTATCCTAGGTTTTAATTTGACAAATTAAATAAGTTTTATACTATACGCAAATTACAAATAAAAAGCTGTTATTCTCGTCTGCTTCTATATCAGGTGCTGCCATACACACGATCAAAAATGGGGTACTTGGAGGGGGGATACATTGTCTGAAAATAAATTAATGATGTGAAATCTGCACTTTGGTATTGATCAACAGTTTATGATGAAATAAAATTTATGATAAAATATTTTGAAAATGTGGCCCCCAGAGTCAGTGGTTCCTGGGGGTGGGGTGCACAAATGGTTATAAAGTGAAAGTGCAATTTCTCTTTGTTACTCTGACGTACCTCTTGGTTTTAAGTAACTAGAGTAAGCATGCTAAGTGTATAGTTATGATAAACAGCGATGCCTCTTTCAAAATTGAATTTCATGACCTCTGTTTAAAAACACGAACCATATTCAATTATTGGAAAGTTGTAACATGACACTCATATGACCTATAAGGCCCGTGGGCATCTTGTTTAAAATTACAATACGAAAAACTTTGATATATTCAATTTTATTTAAATTGCTTCCCAAGTGTTGCTTTTTATGCCTTTAGTGATCTGCAATCTTTGAAACGGAGCACATGACGGGTGTGACTGGTCGGCAGGTGATACTCTCACTCCTCCATGGCACCTGATCTCACCTGATGTTTTAGAGGTTTGCTCCGCTTCGATTTTGAATTGTTTTATGGACTTTGATATTGAATACTGTACGTTATCTCCATATCCTTTTTGATAGGTCAAACAGAAAAGTCGGTTTATTATTAGGTAATGGTCTAAGTATGAAAAATGAACATTTTATATTTAAATCAATTTAAACGAATGCATTTTTGTATAATATTTTTTTTTTACAGATGTTCAATACTTTGAACATGCAATTATGACATAACTAAAATGTATGAGGATTCGATTATGGTGTAGATTGAAACCAGATGACCGCTGTTAAAAAGGACTACAATATTGTTTGTGATTTATTGAAAATAAGGTAAAACAATTAAAAAAATTTGTCATCGGATTTTTTTCCCGATGAGAAAAAGCGTGCCACTATCCAGAACAAAATTGTTTTGTTATTCTGGAAAACATCAAAAAAAAAAAAAAAAAAAAACCAAGAGGGAAACACCTTTTTAATAGTTAACAAGCGTCATGAAACATCGGACTTGTTTTACTAATATTTTTTTAATCATTGTATATAAAAAAAACACAGAATATCCGACTTCAAATTACAGTTAATACCCCCTCAATAGAATTGCACTCATTGTGTTATATTGAAAAAATAATAAAAATGACATAACTCTATGTAAATCTCCCTCTGCCTCTGGGCGTCTAGTAGATAAAGTACAAATTGGTACGTAACATTACTCCATGAGATCATGTATTAGTTTCGTGAATTAACTTCGAAAGTTAGAATTCTCGGTAAGATTTATCACCACGCATTTGAACACAACAAGTGTTTTCTTCTTTGCACGTATAAGATTTTGGACCCATTCTGTTTCATATAAATACAAAAAAGGTTGCTTATAACGCAGCTCAATTGGTATCCAGGAGAATTCCAATACTGTGGAATCATCATTGTTCGTGGGGGACCAATGTTCGTGGCTTTCGTGGGTAACCCTGACCCATGAATTTACATCCCCACCAACGTATATACAAACATTTGTATTTATTATTTGTTAAAAGTTACGATTACACAGACTATTTTATATCGTAAAATAACGGTTACCCTTGTGTCCGTGTGAGCGCGCGTAAAGATCGAAGACAATCTGTATGTGGTTATTGACACACAACCTAAAAAAAAAAAAACCAAAAAAAAAAAAACAAAACAAACAAAAGAAAAAATATTAAGTATCAAAGACATCGATAACTATATACAATAAGTAATAAAATGATAAATGCTAATTAGCCAATTAGCATGAACTGGTTTCAGGAGAGACGTTTTTAAGTCAATTTTGGCATTGTCGTCGTTCTCATTAAGAGATTAAGACATGTTCCGCGTAACACCGGTGTTCTTTATAATCACATCATGACTGTAATTTTTCGTTTACAGCCGCCGGTACATTTTTATGTTCACAAGAGAGATAACTTAAATAAGCAACATTGACAGAGTTATCCTTCTTTGTTTTAACTTTGGAGAAAAAAAAAAACGAAATAGAATGTGTTACCAACGAAATCACGTCCCCACGAACATGTAAAAGTTTGGCTTACCCACTAACATTGACCCCCACGAATAAAAATGATTCCACAGTATATTGTTGGAATAGCTGGTCTCCAAACACCACACTGATATTTTCAATCAAAAACTCAAGCATTCTTTTGACATCAACTTCACACTACTTGTGTCTTCAATCAGAATGTTTTTATGACCAATGACAAGGTAAATGAATTTACGAGTTCCATTTTTATTCAAAAAGCAGCCGTCAATGATATCAAAAAGCCCGGACTTTGATTTATAGTGGGGAATAGAGGCTACACGGCGTGTGTGACCGGTCGGCAGGGGATCTTTGCTCTGCTCCTATACGTTCCCCAAACGAAGTTGGGGAACATATTGTTTTTACTCTGTTTGTTATTATTATGTTCCCCAAACGAAGTTGGGGAACATATTGTTTTTACTCTGTTTCTTATTATGTTCCCCAAACGAAGTTGGGGAACATATTGTTTTTACTCTGTTTCTTATTAGGGTCTTCCGCTTCCTTCGGAAGACCCTACTGTTATTCTATTGTTTCTTATTATTCTTTTTTTTTTTCCCGCTCGACTTTTGACAGGCGATTTCTCAAAGACCTTTGGACTGATCGTTATGAAACTTTCAGGATAGATAGCTTATAGTTAAACCTATTTAAACCTGTTTTCAGTTTTTTTATGCATGCCTTTATTTGTGAGTTATTGCCCTTTAATTGAAAATTTTTGATGTCTCGTTTCCACTGAAAATCTCAAAAATGACATAAGATATTTACACGAAAGTTGGAGAACTTGTAGCCAATACATTGTAGATGTGCACAACGATAAAATTATATAGCTGATTTCTTAAAGTTTGGAAGCTATAAAACGGCAAATTTTAGTAATTTTTTTTCTTTGAATTTTTGCTACTTTTTGTGTAATAACTTTTAAACCGAGAATAATTTGGT